ATTTTCTTTATTGGTTATGTATTTAGGATCATATTTAAGAACTCTTTGATTAACTCAAAGTTACAGAGATTTTTTTTCTATATTTTGTTTTACATTTAGACCTGTGATTGATTTTGAAGTCTGAGTGGGCTTTTGAATATAGACATCCAATTGTCCTAACACCATTTGTTGAAAATACAATTAATTGTCTTTCCACCTTTGTCAAATATCAGTTGAAATATTTATAAGTATCTATTTCTGGACTCTCTATTATCTTACATTGATCTACATCTCTCTCTTCTCATTAACACAGCACTGTCTTGGTTATAATACCTTTATAATGAGCATTAAAATAAGGCAGTGTGGGTCCTTCAACTTTATTCTTTTTAAAAATTTGTGTAACTTTTAGTTTTTGTCATTCCTTATAAAGTTTTAAAATCAATTATTTATGCTTTAGCTGGTTTGGCTTAGTGGATAGAGCGTCAGCCTGCGGACTGAAGGGTCCCGGGTTCCATTCCAGTCAAGAGCATGTGCCTGGGCTGTGGGCTTGATCCCCAGTAGGGGGAGTGCAGGAGGCAGCTAGTCAATGATTGTCTCTCATTATTGATGTTTCCATCTCTATCTTCCTCTCTGAAATCAATTCGATATTTTTACAAATCAATTTACTTTACATGTATAGGTCTAGATCCCATTTGCAATAAAATACATACACATTTTAAAATTGTAAAACAATGATGTAATGAGCACACATGGACCAACACATCAAAGAAGTGAAACAAAGTAAAACTTGCATCTACCTGTATATTTCTCCTCTAGCTTATATCCGTAACTACTTTTTTCTTTGGTGGAGCCAATTACTCAAAGGCAAATATTTCACATTCTTAAATTCCTGGTTCTTTTGAATTGGCTATCAGAATTCTACTTCTTTAATATTTTTTTTATTTTGTACATTCAGTTGATGCACAATATTATAGTAATTTCAGGTGTACAACATAGCCATTAGATGTTCATATAACTTACATTGTGATCATCGATAAGTCCAATTCTCATCTGACACCATACCTAGCATTTACAATTTTACTATTTCCTATGCTGTACTTTACATCCTTATTACTCTTTTTATAACTGGCAACCACTAGTTTGTTCTGTTTCTATGAGTTTGTTTATTTTGTTTCTTTGATTCCACATATAAGTGAAATAATATGGCATTTGTCTTTCTCTGACTTACTCTACTTGTTCCTCTCGGTCCATCCACACTGTCGCAAATGACAAGATTTCCTTCTTTTTATGGCTGAGTAATATTCCATTCTACATATGTACCAACTCTTTTTTATCCATTCATCTATCAATGAACACTTAGGTTACGGCCATATCCTGACTATTGTAAATAATGCTGCAGTGAACAAAGGGGTACATATATATTTTTGAGTTAGTGTTTTGGATTTCTTCAGATAAATACCCAGAGTGGAATTGCTGGGTCATATGGTAGTTCTAGTTTTAACTTTTTGAGGAAACTCTATACTGTTTTTCTCAAAGGCTGCATCAATTTATAATTCCAATAGTACACAAGAATTCCCTTTTCTCCACATCCTCACCAACACTTGTTTGAGTTATTGATGATAGCCATTCTGACAGGTGTGGGCGATATCTAAATGTGGTTTTAAGTTGCATTTCTCTGATGATTAGTGACACTGAGCATCTTTTCATATGTGTATTGGCCTTCTGTATGTCCACTTTGGATAAATGTCTATTCAGTTCTTCTGCCCGTTTTTGTTGTTAAGTTGTACGAGTTCCTTGTTTATTTTGGATATTAACCCCTTGTCAGATGTATCATTGATGAATATCTCCCCCCATTCAGAAGATTGTCTTTTTGTTTTGTTATTGGTTTCCTTCACTATGCAAAACATTTTAGTTTGATGTAGTCCCATCTGTTTATTTTTTTCTTTTGTTTCCCTTGCCCAAGGAGACATATCCTAAGAGATATTGCTAAGAACAATGTCAAAGAATTTACTGCCTATGTTTTCTTTTAGGAGTTTTATGGTTTCAGGTCTTAACATTTAATTCTGTTATTTTAGTTTATACTTGTATATGGGGTAAGGAAATGATCCAGTTTCATTCATTTGCATTTATCTGTCTAGTTTTCCCAATACCATCTATTAAAGAAACTGCCTTTATCTCATTGTATACTTTTGCCCCCTTTGTCATAGATTAGTTGACCATATAGGTATGGGTTTATTTCTGGGCTCTCTGTTCTGATCCATTGATATATGTATCATGCTGTTTGATTACTATATCCTTGGAGTATAGTTTGATTTCAGGTAGCATGATACCTCCCCAAATTTGTTCTTCTTTATCAAGATTGCTGTGGTTCCATATAAATGTTAGGTTTATTTGTTCTAGTTCTGTGAAAAAGGTGTCATTGGTATTTGGTAGGGATTGCATTGAATCTGTAGATTCCTTTTAGTAGTATGAACATTCTAACAATGGTAAGAATTTTACTTCTTATAGTGACCTCCTCTAAAAAAATGTTGAGTAGAAGAGGAGGTAAACTTATACTACTTTTAAAAAACAATTTTTATGCAGTTCCTATGTTGAACTAATTTTTCAAGTTAAAAACTAGGTTTGAGGAGGTTTACATCTTAATCTTAAATGAAGTATTTGGAATGGAAGTTACTACTTAATGATTTTATTCCTTCACTTATTACTTCTGAAGTCCCATAGGAATGTACCAGTATCCTTCTCATGGCACTTACAATTTTCTACATTGCATTACATTTACTTATACTCATATTGCATTACATTTATTTATACTCATATGCTATTTCACTTATTTATGTTTCTCCAGTTTTATTGAAATATAATTGTCATGTGACATTTTAAGGCATACAGCATAATGATTTGATTACTTATATATTGTAAAATGATTTCTACATTTCATCAACATTTATCACCTCACATAGATACAAAATCTTTTTTCTTGTGATGAGAACTTTTAAGATCTATTCTCTTAGCAACTTTCAAATATACAATACAGCATTGTTAACTATATTTATTATAGTGATCATTACATCATCAGAATGTATTTTTTTTAAACTGGAAGTTTGTTTCTTTTGACCACCCTTGTCCATTTCCCCACCAATGTTTTTCACTCATCAGATTTATAATGAGATCTGTCTCCCCCAGTACTTGACACCAGGTTGGCCACTCCACTTTGACTGAGTGAAATGTATTTTCACCTCTAGCAATATCATCCCAAATTTTAGATGAATTGCTTTACCATTTTTTTCAGATTGTGTTATATTGCTTTTTAACAAGGACATCAGTAAATTTTATGAAAATTAGTCCAGAGAAATGGAAAAACAGGTTGTAATTTCATTTACACAATCAGTTGGGTCTAGAAATAGCTAAGTCGCCTGTCAGCTGTTTTCCTTTCACTTCCAGTGTCTACATATTTGAATGCTTCCAAGCAACCTTGAGCAGGGAGCTAAAGAATAAATAGAAGAATATAATATTTGGTTTTGAAAATATCGCATGGCCCAACCAGGACACTCAATAAGTGGCTGGTGATAGGAAACCTACCTCACAGAATATATTTCCATTTTTAAGAAATGTTATTTGGTGAGAAGCCTATTTATTAACATTGGGTGGAGGTATACAGTGCAAAATTATATCTGATTGACTAAATGATAGAATGTATCCTTAGAATTCTTATTCAAGTATTTGCCAATTTAATGTGTCTAGTATTATTGTCACTCATTATGAGCATGAAGATTTTAGATGTATATATCTTTACTTTTTGAATTAATCAATCAAAAGCACTTACTGAGTATCAATGTAGTTCCACTTCTGGGCTCTGAGAATACAGCAATGAAGCAAACATACAGGTCATATTCTACATTTCATAACCAAATGATACATGTAATAAGTTTTCTTTGGAAATTATTAAATCAAATAATTTCTGTTATGGAGAAAATTCTCCATGTTATCATTGTATTAAAATGTATTTGAATCTCTAATTTGGTTTTTAAATAAGATTGCTCAGAAAACTAAATCAATAAAGTAATTTATATGTATTTGTTTTTTAGCAATAGTATTAATTCATATTATACATATATTTAAAATGCATTTAGCCTTTCATTCACATAATATAACCCCCAGTGTTTTATTAGTCTTGCTCAAGATTCATGATTCTTATCCACGGGATATTGTGATGTGATCCCAGAATGTCTTAATATCTGTAAGTTTATTGAACATTGGCAGCAGATGTAATTAGCGTTAAGTACTACTTTTCAGTGTATAATTCTGTACTGCAAGACAAATTTTATGCATTTTCTCAGTTAAAGTTTAAATATTAATGGAGATAGTCTGAAATATTTTGACTTCATTGGTTCTGTTTCTTGAAAAGAATTAAATCATACAGCCACTAGGGGGCTCACACACCACATGTGTAAATCGTGTGGCATCACCTCCAGATACACTTGGGGTACTTACAAAGGACGTAATAGCTGGGACAATAACACCACATTCAGTTGTTTTGTGTGGTGGGTTAGGGCCTAATATTCTTAACACCAAAGGCACAGTAACAGAAAATCCATCAAACCAGGTGTAACTTATCGGGGAAGTTAGCAACTAGAGGTCAGAAACTGCACCTGGAGAAATGTTCAAGTCTGGTGCCAGTCCCACCGTCAGGACTGGCCTGTTGCTACAGGAACACTGGCTCTATCTGTCATGTCTTAGAGTCCGAGGGGTGGATGGATTTACTTGTGCACAAACAACATTGTGTGGTATTAATTCACTTGTCTCTCGTATGAGAAGATTTGTAATCAATTTAAATTTGTTTTTTAGATGGTTCATTTTCTTTAGAGCAAGGTTGTGTTAATATTCTTTCATTTTATAAAGGAAAACCCTTAGGAAGCCATTTGAGTCCTTTCTTATATAATTCACATTCAGGTGTTTCCAATCAAGAGCATTCTTGAATATCTGATAATGTCCATCTATTTTTATTTTTTGTTTACATCCAGGGGCGGTTCAGCATTAACTTGGCAGGAACTGGGATGAAGATATCCAGCACTGCCAAGTGGCTGGCTCAGGGCAGTTACGCCTCTGTCGTCATCCACAGATCACAAGTAAGTCCTGCTGGGCCGGGAGGCCTTTCTGAAATACATCTATGCGGTGAACTTGCATGAAAGGGCCTCTACCTCAATGTAGAGTTACTAGTATATGAGGTTGGTGACTGCATTATTGCATATAATGGAATATAACATTAATTTATGAAATTATGGAATAGGGTTCATTTTTATTTATGTACATAAGTAGGTTTTATGTAAACATATAAATTCTTGTACAGGCTACAGATATCTGAGCATGAAATAATAATATCAGGGCATATAGATTTTATCCAGCTCAAGTTTAGGGCTAATGACTTGAAAGGCAGGTACTTCAGAAAGAGGTAGTGCTTTTAACTTTAATGGTTTGTAGGTTTTAATATTTCAAAGTGAGATGTAAGTTTTTGGTTTATTTATCTCACTGCTTTGATTTAGTGATGGGATGGTGCTACAGCCATTTGTCATTTAACAAAATAACCTCTATAGTGCTTTCTTTAAATCTATTTTTATGGTTTTATACATATTTTCCTCTATATAGAAAACAATGTTATTTGTGTTCACCTCTAACACATACAGCATGGGCCAAAAGTAGAATTACAGTTGTTTGGATGAAAAATAATACAAAAATAAACTGTTTCATGTACCCACAACTGTACACCTACTTTTGCCCCACCCTGTACATTCTCTAAAATAGAACCCATTTAATTTTGCTGCTGGTATGATGTACTAGCACATACACTTTAGGAGGTGGCTTCTATTAGAGTTACCATGTCTTAGCATGACTCTCTACATAGTAAACTAACATCTACATTATAACTGTTCCTACCTGTATTGTACATAAATTAACACCACCAATAGCCCCTGCCCACTGTTTTGATTGCTTTCTTTTGATAAGAATGAGTTCTTTTATGCTCCTACTTTTATGAATATTTATAAAGAAAATTCAATTTTTTGATACTATAGGGTTTAAACATTCTATTTCTGAAGACTGAAATTGTTTTAATTAATAAAGAATTAAATTTTTGTTTTGCATATTGGTAAGCAGTAGGCTTTTAAAACATATTTAAATTGAAGAGCTATTTGCATTTGGCATATTTAGGTCTAATCCATTTTGGTACAAGAATGGGAATAAGTTAATTAAAATATATTCTGAGCAATCGAGCTCAATGAAATATTCTGACCTTATTTATCCATCTTTTAAATATTTTTTGGTTAAACGTGAAGACTGAACTCTGGCTGACATCACCAATAGATATGAATATCTCATACAGTCATTCCTTTTGCTTCTATTTAATTCTATTCTAAAGATTAATTAACTGAGAATGTCTACTTTCATCAAAATGTTACACATGAAGGTCTTTCCTGAAATCTGATGTGAAACTGAAACCCAAATATACTTATGGGAATGCAAACACAATAGATTTAACCAAGGTTAGGTTTTTACTTAATCTGCGATAGGAACATATGTAAATTAGAATTTTTACTGCCATTCCCTTCTTTTCTGCTTACTCAGATTCTTGAGAGTTAAAAAATCTTCTGAAACAAAAGTCAATTTCGAAAACCCCTGATCTCTAAACATCCATTCCAAAATGTTCCAGGAAACCTCCTTCTTTTGGTTAAAAGAAAAACCACAAAAATAACAAAATAACTTTACCTTTACCTTTCCAAAAATTGCAGTTTAAACTATTTTTGCCTCATCCAATCAAAATGTTTTCCGTTTTTTGACTTTTGGACTTAAAGATGGAAGGCAGTCTAGAAATAACATGTGTCTTTGTCCTGACCATGCCTTTCACCCACCTCTGACCATCATTCCTCTGTGAATGGCTTTGCTTTACTAAAAAGGAAAAAAAAAAGTTCTAATTACTGCTTTCAGTCCAATTTTCCCCCACCCCCTTCTATACTTTTCTTCAGGCTGTATTTCTCCAAATAACTTTTATTTAGTCGATGAAAATCTTAAACTCACTAAAGCAAATAGATGCCTGGATGGAAAATATGTGGATTGAGATGAATCATCTAAATTATAGTGTGGTATATAATAATCAAGAAGCTAATATGCATCTCAGGTGGGTTATCTCATTGCCCTAACCACCAATCCTGACATGGCATTTACCTCAAGTGTGATTGTCACAGGAAACCTTGGCTAATTGGCTTTTTCTGTCTTGTGCATGTATTAGATTCTCCTGTATTTCTGCCTCTTCCTATTTTCAGGATGGAACCAAAGTCTACGGCAGATGTGGAGGGTTTTGTGGAAAGTGTGTTCCTCACCTGATGACTGGCCTCCCAATTCAAGTGATCTGAGCATTCAGAAGTGAGAAGTGTGTCCCAAAGAGGAGATAGTCTTTGAACCTGCAAATAACCGGTGCTCATGTCTTTCATCTTCCCTTCCTGAGATTTCCGTGTCCAAAAGGTCTGTGACTTTGTTTAGGGTGCTCACCAGGGAGTCAAATCCCCACTTAATTTTTTCAAGGCCTTCAACTTAATAGGTATATAACTCTAATCAGGATATTTTTTTAAAAAGTACTTATTTATGGTGGAATATACAAGGATGTCTGGATGAATTATACCAAGATAATATTGCAGTTAACAGCTTGGACTCAACCACAGTTAAACCTATAAACATACATGTAAACCTCTACTCAGTATTCTACTGTACAATGAAATGTTTGCTCTACTTGTTAAGTGGAAAATGAACTTATTTAAAACTACCATAAACATTATTTCATGTCAGGTGAATAGTAGTAAATCAATAGTTACTTTGAAAAAGTACATAGCCATTATACTTACTGATACAGCATAGATACCTTGTTTTATATTCCTTTAATTGTGAATGATGGTGCTTCAAATTTTAAAAATCCTAAAAATGTGTGCTTGGGTTAAATACTAAATAACTTTTGTGGGTATAATACAAAAGAAGGTATAATATAGTAGAATTTTAAAACACCTACCTCTAATTTAATGTGTACGCTCTCTATGTCTTTATAACTCTCACGTGTATATATCTACTCTTAAAAATCTATTTTCTCAAAGTTTATACTGTATTTTATTAATCAAATACAGAAGTGAGAATTATTGAAATTTTGAAGATTCAATAAACAAAATTATTTTTACATGTGCAAAATTTTTATTAGAGATGTTCATGTTAAGAGATGTTCATGTTATTTTATACCTAAGATTTCTCAAAGCCAGAACATAAAAGATAGTAAAAATTAACTATCCTTGGACAAATTCTCAGGTATTAAATTTTTTTCAGGTGGATAATTGTGTATTATATAATAATGTGGTTTTAAACTAATCATAGACAAATAATATTTTTATATGGAAACCTACTCTGTAAAACAAAACTGAATCTACTAACAGAATTTTATCAGTTAATAATAGATTAATTTTACCCACAAAGTTTTCCCCCCAAACATTTATTAGAGGTATATTGTACCATATAAGGTACTAAAGCAATTTTGTGCCAATGTGGCTAAACATTTAGGGATCTCTGTATCAGAAATAAAGTATTTTGCACTATGTGCCTTAAATCAGTTACAAACATTAATATGAAATGTGTAACATTTGCTATAAATGTTTTCATTCATAATTAAAATCTTTAAATTTATAAACATTTAAATAATAAAAATATTTGTTATACATTAACACCATGTTTTCATTTTCCTTTAAGAATCTTTCACTAAAAATGTCTGTGAATCTAAAATTACTTCATAAATTCTAAGGAATTTTTAATTGAAATTATTGCAGTTGGGATGGAAACAGCTGTTCACCCTTCTGATGGCAAAAGGAACACGGGCAGGAGGCTGACAGAAACTTGCAATACCTTTAAAAGCTTCAATTCATACAAGGGTTACCACTGTATTTATATATAATGGGGCAAGAAAGTACTATATATATTACATATAGTTCTTTGCCCCAGGGATGGAGAGATATTACATATATATATATACACACACACACACATATATATATATATATATATATCCTTAACCTATCACAATATATGTCAAGTGTTACAAACTCCGAATATATTTTCATATAAATTTTTGCTTATCAAGTGTCTTTTAAAATTTCTTTCCCTCTTTATTCTTTCTTATAGATCTGAGTTTCTATTATTTCTTATAGTGTGAGTTGGCTGGCACAAATCCAGCTTTCATTTATCAAAATGTCCATAATTCACCTTCACATTTTTAAACTTTACCTATAAATGTTGACATAATTTAAAGCTTACAAAAAATTGCAAGAATAGTACAAATAGCTACCATATGTCTTTTAGCTGGAATCACGAATTTAACATTTTGTCACATTTGCTACATCATTCTCTTTTTTTTATATGTGTACTTGAGGCCCAATGCATGAATTCGTGCACGTGTGGGGTCTCTCGGGGGGCCTGCGGGGATCGGGCCGAAACCCACAGTCCAACATTGCCTGCAGCTTCTACCTGCCGCTCCCGGACATCCCAGCCCCACTGTGCCTGCTGTGGGCTCATGCCAAATCAGTCCAGATTGGGAGAGGCTCGTACTGCAGCAGCGCTCCCCAGCCATGAGCCCTGCGTCTGGTGCCCTCACGAGGGGAGTGGCCTGTGGGATTGGGCCGAAACCGGCTCTCTGACATCCCCTGAGGGTTCCCAGATTGTGAGAGGGCACAGGCCAAGCAGAGAGACCCCACCAGTGCATGATTGGGGCAGGAAAGGGACCACAGGAGGGCTCCAGGGTGTGATTGGCCCATCTTGCTCAGTCCCGATCTGCTGGACCCCAGCAGCAAGCTAACCTACCAGTCAGAGCATCTGCCCCCTGGTGGTCAGTACACATCATAGCGAGTGGTTGAGCAACCTTAGCATATCATTAGCATATTATGCTTTGATTGGCTGAACAGTCAACTGGTCACTGGACGACCAGACACTTAGCATATTAGGCTTTTATTATGTAGGTTATTATATAGGATAGTGTACTTATACACAGACATATCTATCCACATATTTATTCTTAATTTGAGAGTTGTTGATTATAGCATGAACTTTTATTCCATAATACTTTAGTATGTACTTAAAAAAGATATTCTCTTGCATAACCATGGTATAATTATGAAATTCAGAAATTTCACCACTTAATTTCTAAACAGACTCAGTTTATTTCAGATAAGCGAGTGGTAGGAAAGATGGGGTGTCATGGTTAATTAGTTCTCCTCTTATATACTATTCTTTCTCAACCTTATATTATTCTACACTATAAATGCTTGACTTTCTCTCAAGTAATAGCTCGTTGTGACCTCCTCCATAAATATTTCCTGGACAATTCTGTTGGGAATATTTTATTTTAAATTCTTCATGTATTGTTTTCCTTTCTTACATCACTTATTGTTTTCTACCTGGTATGTAATTAGGATTTTGAACACCCATCTTACCTGCTCTCCAAGATGGTTATTTGAGTAAAAACTAGTACTTGCTTAGTTTCTATTTTATGCCACATACTGAGAGGCACTTTACATCATGACGTAATTTAATCTTTACAACAACCTTATGAAGCATCACCATTTTAAAGATCATCTATAATAATAAAAGCATAATACGCTAATTAGACCAGACATCCTTCCCAACGAAGCTGCAGCAGACGGGGGCTGAGGCCACCGCTGCGGTGGTGGGGGCCGAGCCCCTTGCATGAATTTCATGCATCGGGCCTCTAGTTTCATATAATGGCAGAAACTTTTTAGCACAGTGCACATCTGTGCAGACACAAAGCCTTACTTTTTACTCAATCATATTCTTCACTTAATGATGGAAACTATATTACTTTATTCTGAATCTTTCATGGCAACTATCAGAGTGTTGTCTACACAGTAGAGATTTAATATTTTATTATGAATAAATTAAAATACTCAGCAATTCACTTCCACAAGAAGATATATGAAAACATCTATATGAACTATAATTTAGAGATATTTGGTGGGATTGATGTTTTTAAAAAATGAAGAGCCATCCCAAGAATATGTTCAGGAAGATACAGGTATTCCTAGAGAGTTCAATCACGCCCCAGAGTAGGATTTGGGAGGCCAGACTAGAAGTAAACAACAGCCAACATGCATGCTTTTTTCAAGGAGTAAGTTTAGTAGGTCTACTTTATTTTTAAAAATTTTTATTAAATTTATTGGTGTGACATTGGTCAACATATTTTAAATTACTTTAAAAGACTTCACACCTACAAACATTGTTGTGAACACACTATAGAACATTTTTCAGTGAAAACTCATTCATAACTTAGTACAGCTTTGCTAAATATAAATGTTCTAAGTTGCCACAATCATTTAAAAAGAACAGAATTGATTTTTATTTATTCTTTGATGTCACACATCAGGATAGGATATATTCTGTGCTATGAAAATATAGCTATGACTCAATATATTTTGATTTGTAAACATTATTATTTTCAAACACAAATGACTCTTGTTCAATTTTTTTCTAATAATTCAGCTTGTGTTTTAGTTGCCAACTGTCTATTTAAATGTTTTGTTTAAAGGTAAATAAGAAGACCCAATTGTGCATTAGTTTTGTCATTTATTTTAAGATAACATGCTTATTTTTGTTACACCATACTTGCCACATTTTTTTTACCCCTCTAATGACTCATCTTTATTTGAAACAGGAAAATTTACTTAAAACTGACAACAGTGGCATCTGCTGGCCACTCTTAACTATTCCTCAGTAGGATAAAGAAAAAAATATTGAAAAATATTTTCTCTCCAATTGTCTGAAGCATTTGAGGAGTAACTGTTTGCAATGCAACAGGCAAGCAGTGTTTGTGTTTTCCGTATTAATGCTCTAACTGAAAGCATTAATATCTATATTTCCATGGCATCTCCATAGCTATATCTCTGGCATACAGACCTGCATGTGTTCTTTTCACCACTGCAACCTGGGAACATTCTTGACAATATAAAACCTTTCTCTGTCTCCAGGAGCAAATAGAAAAGTTGTTTTCGTGCCATAGTTTTGGAGGGATGATCTTTATGCTATAAATAGAGGAAGCTGGGATTGGGAGCAAGTGCTTGGGGATACCCAGCTTTCTAGACCAAGCGCTAATATTAAAGAGTGAAATATTACACTTTAGGCAGGTTTGTTTCCTCAGCTGTAAAATTCGAGATATGAACAAACTTCTAAGGTATTTTTCAGCTCTAAAAGTTTCTATGTATAATTTGTGTCTGGTGCATTATTTTGCAGTTACTATTTTTATAGAAATAAAGTTACTTAGTATTCAATCCGAGTAAAACAAAAACAAACAAACAAACAAACAAAAATACCCAGTTCTTGGAGGGGGTAGATCACCACTCTCCTCTTCAATTTTCCTATACAGAAAGAGTTCAGCTTACCCAACAAAGCAAATATATGCTCCTTTCATAGTTTAGTACCTGCTGTTTCAGAGTTAAGAAGACCCGAGTTTTTTACATGCTCTGACACTTTCTAGCTATGGAATCTCATAACAAAACACACAACCTGAACCTCAATATTGCAAATTGTTAAATAGATAGAAGGAAAATGTCCTGCTTACTTTCCCAAAATAAAAATTATGAGGTTAAATGAATGTAAATATGTTTTGTTTAGTAGAAAGTGCCCCATTTTAAATATAGAAAATAGCTTTGAAAGCAATGTAGGCAGTAGAAGGTAGGTTCTGGGGGGTCTAAATTCTAGCTCTTGCTTATGTAAGCTTTGTGACCTTAGGAAAAATCATTTAATCTTTCTGACAAGCAAACACTAAAGGATTTCTTCACCAACCACTAAAACAGTTGTACAAGAAACGTTAAAGGGTCTTCTTTATGCAGGAAATAAAAGGCCATACCAGAAATAAAATACAAGAAAGGAAAAATCTTGCAGGTAAAGGCAAGCATAGAATTAGCACAGTAAATAAGCAACTTAAAAAGCTAAGATGAAGGTTAAAAGACACAAGCAGCAAAATTAACTATAACTATAATAAATAGAGGATACACCCAAATTATATATAAAATGTGACTTTGAAAACACCAAGTGTGAAGGGAGAGTGAAAATATAGTGCTTTTATAATGTGTTTGAACTCAAACACCTACCACCTTAAAATAGACTGCAGTAGATATAGACGGATATATAGGAACCTCATGGCATTCACAAACCAAGAAAATACCAAAAAAATAAAAATAAATAAATAAAAAATCCCACAATAAATAAAGAGAAAAGAACCCAAATAAAATACTACAGAGAACCAGTAAACCAAAAGGAAAGAACTCAAGAGAAGAAGAAAAGAATAGAGAATATAAAAACAACTGAAAAACAACTAACAAAACATCAATAAATACATAACTAATAATTATTTTAAATATAAATGGACAAAATACTCCAAGCAAAAGACACAGGGTGGCTGAATGGATGAAAAAACAAGGCCCATCTATATGCTGCCTACAAGAGTCTCACTTCATTGAAAGACACACACACTGAAAGGAAAGGCATGGAAAAAGATACTCAAGCAAATAAATACAAAAAGAAATCTGGAGTAGCAATACTTGTAAAGAAAA